TTAATTGGAGCCCACTCTTCATCCAGTCTTTTTATGTCCTTGTGATTTAGTAGTGCCATTAATTTATCAATTTCTTTCATTTCTGTTAATTTCAGAAACCAATCATCCACAGTAGATATTTCTTCTTTTTTCCATCTCTGGGCTATCAATAACCTAGCTGCAGTAGTCATGTACAGAAAAATCCTCCAATACTTCTTCTCTATAACTGGACCTAGTTTGTTTGTCATGTTCAACAAATATAGCTCCGGACTCATCTCGTATTTAATTTTCAACATATCCTGTATAGCTATATGAATTCTTTTCCAGTAAGTTTTCATTATTGAGCTTCTCCACCAGGTATGGAACCACGACCCTACATTTTGTTTGCATTTCCAACATTTGTTTGTTTTTACATTATAGAGTCTTGCTATTTTTGCGGGTGTTAGATACCACCTCTGTTCCATTTTCCAAAAGTTCTCTTTCAAGTCCTGTGAATGGGTAAATTTTTCTGTTTTTTCCCTAACATTTTCCCAGCTTTTTAATTCAATTGTTTTTCAGACATCGGTTGCCCATTTGATCATATTTTCCGATATCTTTTCGGTTTCCTGCTCCCTCTCCATTATTATTTTATATAATTTACTTATTCTTTTTTCCCGTGATTCCGTCAGTACTTTATCCAAATCCAATGGTTCCTCTTCAAATCCCTGGAGCTTAAAGTCCATTTTAAATCTTTCTTTCTTTCTTTCAATTGCGTATATAACAGCCAGTGCATTTTAGGCTCTAATTGTTCTAGCTCCTCCATTGATTTTAATTCGTATCTTTGTCCATCTGGTCTTTTGAGTATATCTGTATACCTCAACCATGTTTTGACTGCAGTCCATTTTCCAAAGAATGCCTCATGTGGAGATACCCAAAGGGGTATTTTCCTGTAAATTTTCTTTTTAATTTCATTCCACACATTCAGAAGTGATCTTCTAATCACATGATGTTTGAATTCTTTGTGGATCGTTTCTTTTCCATA